AATCAAATACTTTCTCCCATCGTTTCTGCTCAACCCACCAGATCTAGCAGAGTGAGCATGCTCCGGGTCCCCTCTATTAAACAATGTTGTCGGCAACGTGGCTTCTCCATGGTGGTGCCTGCCTTGCAGAACAGCATTCCTCCAGAGATCTGGATGGCCCTGATGCTACTGGCCTTTCACATGGATGTGAAGACCGGGTTGTTTCCCCAGGCATTTGGGTTGGGAGGTTAGGCTAGGCCAGCCCTGTAGTTGATGTGTTTTTTATGATTGGAAAGTGTCGTTCATCTGGGGCTATTGTTTTAATTTTTGAGTTTTAATGTTTGTATGCTGCCCAGAGTCACTGTTGTGAGATGGGTAGCCATATAAATCATATAATTAATTAATTAATTAATTAATTAATTAATTAAAAAAAAGACACTGTACAAACTAGGCAGAGACAAGACGGTCCTCTAAAACAATATGAATTAATTTATGATTAGAATATGACTCAAATATGATTAAAAAGCCTGTGAAAATCAAAAGGTCTTCTCCTGGCACTGAAATTATGCTAATGGATACTTATGCTAATTATGCATCCATTGGGGAGGACATTCTATAAATGGGGTGCCACCACAGAAAAGACTCTCTCCTTTGTTGAGACCCACCTTCCCTCCACTAGTAGGGGGACTTGGAGGTCCCTCTAATACTATGCTACTAAATAAGAAGAAGCCACTGCTAAAAAGTGAGCAAGACTACTTACCAATCCCAATCTCTCTGCAACTGGGAAATAGCCTCAGATAAAAGGCTGTTCTCCATTGTCTTAACAACAATAAGAACAAAAATTAAAAAGGTAGTCACTGAATTTCTGTGATATCTTTGTCATTCTCTCATTACCAGTTTTCAGTTAGCAAGAAGTTCTAATGGGGTAGATGGCAGCCCTCAGCATTCTTTCTTGTGGCCCCAGAATCCCCTCTTATTTGCTACTAAAACCAGTAGCAAAATTGCTGAAAATTGGCAGCATGTCTTTCTGCCTTTTCAGCCCTCAAATTGCATAAAACATTGTAGTCTGAGCCTTTTCTAGGCTTCCTACATTTTAATAATTTAAACTTTCCTGCCAAAAATAGCATGAAAAAAGTTAACCAGCCCTGCCCATTTTGCCTCATCTGATCCTGGATGGCTCATGGTTTTCCCCAAAGTATTAAGAGATGTACACATCAATATGTGTATTATTTTTCCTTGCTGTAATAGGTACTAATGTTTGGGGTACAGAACCATTTGTGATTGTAAGAGGTAGAAAGCAGGGTTGCCCTTTATCGCCTTTATTGTTTGATTTTGTCATGTACATTTTGAGCAATAATTGCAGTAAAATGGAGATATCAAATAAATATTACATATCTCTTAAAGTATTTGCTGATGACACACTTGTATTAATGAATATGATTTTGCCCATCTAAATTTAATTGACTGACAGAGCATATACTGTATCCTCTTTTCAGAGAATGAGTCATTCCACTTTTTCTTGCCATTTTGTCTAGTGGCATTCTTGGGGGAAATGGGGTGTGTGTGTGTGAATAAAGGCAACCTGGAGGAAGAGGTGCTGCATGTACTGTGCATACAAAAAAGGCAGGATTTGCGATGCTGCTTCCACCATCTCTTTTGACCATCCTTCCCCTCCAAGGGTGCCACTGATTTTTCCAACTTCACTGAGCTGCACGTATACAGATTCTTTTCTTTTTACTCTGAATATACTGTTTCTTAAGAAGTCCTTTTTGTTGTTCTTGGCACCAGTCTCAGCATTCTTTAGCCTGCTTGACACTATTTTTACAATTCTGGGGTAATTGTACTCAATGTTCATATCTACACAAAGTTTTTTGTGTAATCCCATTTCTTCTGCTGTCTTTCATTCCCCCACCCCTTACTGGATTCATTTGCAATTATGCTTTCAATACACCCTTTTTAGGAATTCCCTTGCAGCAGGAGCTCCTTTTTCCATTAACTTCTTTTGGCATGAAATACTATTTATCACTGCTCCGAGTGTATTAAGATTTCCTTTTGGGAAGCCCAAAGATAGGTGCTTGACTACATTCATTTTAATTTCCTTTAATATCATGAATTCTTTTCCCTTTCACATACAATAAAGGAGTTTAGAAACTAGGTTGCTTCACAAAGCTAACTTCAGTTGGCTTAGTTTCAAACTTTAGTCATTACATTATTTGAAATCCATAATTTACCCTTCCTTATGCCTTTTAAGAAAGAATGTATAGACATCAGTTTGCAGTTAAAAGGGATCTCAGCCAAGGACTATAAGCTTTTAATGATCAGGAATCTATGAGAGTTGTTCTTCTCCCATGAGGTCACTTTGCATTTGGGAAAGATGTTACTTAAATGATCTTGAATTTTGATATTGCACATGGTTGCTTGAGTGGTTCTTTTTTTAGAAACAGCATGCTTTTACTACTTTTTTCCTTAAAAATAAGACACATTTGAAAAAAACCCACACAATTGGCTCACTAGTTACACTTCCCTGTAGTAGATTTCCAAGTACTAGAAAATGCCATAACAACTTACAGGGAAATTGTCTGTTGTCCCCAAACTCTAGATGTTGTGACCCATTATCTATCTCCAACGGTTCTCTGGAAGTAATGATGCAATAGCAAGATTGGATTTCTGAGGAAAGAACTACCCTCTGCCCCCCCAGTTGCCAAGCACCACTGACAACAACAATATGGTCACAGTATCTTCCTTTGCAAGGGAATCCATGATGGATGGCTTCAGTACTCATCTTTATATGCATAGATGCAAACTACGCTTAATGTTAAGTGAAAAACAAACTCACTGGCCTGGTTTAATCTGAGACATAGGCAGAATTTTCTCTATCCTGTTTGCAGGTTGGAGATTCTGCCACAACCACTGAGAAGGAAAACGCTGCCCTTCCATGTAACATTGTTGCATTACTAAGCTATTGGACATGAAGCACTATGAACGTTTGAATCCTGCTATAGATAATGTGTTGTCATGTTTTTTTTTGCAAAGTAACATTTTATCTGAGCAAAAAGAAATATAAATGATTGTCCTACATGACATACAGTCAGGTCCAGAAATATTGGGACATCGACACAATTCTAACATCTTTGGC